GAGGAGGAGGAGGAGGAGGAGGAGGAGGAGTGGGGCTCCGTCCTCTGCATGTGGACGCTGCCCCCGACGGCTACCGTCGGCACCACCGCGCGCGCTACGATCCCCTGGGACATGAGGCCGCCCTCCAGCGGCGGCGTGAGCAGCGGCGCCTCCAAGATTTTCTGATGCCTGATATCCTGCTCCCCGCTCCTCAACCTCCTACTCCTCCGCCTCTCCTCCTCAACCCTCCCACTCATCCTCTTCTCTCCTCCTCCTCCTCCCATCTCCTCCTCCTTCTCCTCCTCCTCCTCCTCCTCCTCCTCCTCCTCCTCCTCCTGCTTCTCCACCACCATCAGCACGAGCTGCGGGACGGGCGGGACGCTGGCCAAGCCGGACTCCTGCCCAAGAACTGTCCTTCTTCAGCACCTCCCTCCGCTCTCCTCGAGGCACGCCCCGCCCTCCGCGAGCAGCGGCGCTTTCGCGGTCTTCTCGTGCACAACCTGCTGGGGCACCACGTCGGTCACACTCGCAGCCGCGGTGGCCGGACCGCCCTCCAGGCTCCAAGCGTGCACACGGCCCCCGGCACCGCCAGCTTGCCCCGTGTCCATCGCACCCACCTCCCCGCCCTCCGTGCCGCAGCCCCCGCTCCCTTCGGAAAGCGCCACGCACTTCTCGAACGCTGACAAAGCGATCTTCTCCACGCCCATCGCCGCCTCCAACTCCTCCTCCTCCTCCTCCGCCTCCTCCTCCTCCTCCTCCTCCTCCTCCGCCTCCTCCTCCTCCTCCTCCTCCGCCTCCTCCTCCTCCTCCTCCTCCTCCTCCTCCCTCCTCCTGGGGATCCGGGATCTGGCCCATCGCCGCCTCCAGCTCGGCCTCCACGGCGAGCTGGCTCCGCACGGGCTGCGGGCGCGCGCGGGCGCGCCACACCTGCCCACGGCGCCGACCAAGGGACTGCGGCCGCGCCTCCGCGCCAGGGCCCCCGTCCACGCGCTCGGGGCACGTGCGCGGTGCTCCGCCACTGTTTCCAAAGGAGTAATGTCCAAAAACAGCCAAAGATAGTCGCGGGGCGATTTGGGGGTTGCTCTTGTGCACCGTTGAGCCATGTCTTACTATTTTACTTCACTTTTCGCTCTCGACGTCCGCCTGTGGGAGGACATGCCCGACCTAACCATGGTCTGGCAACCCAGTCTTGCGCGGCACTCCACGTCCTCAAGCCGCAGGCCCGGCCCCCGCCGGGCACATTCAGCGCCGGGACCTGCGCCCAGGGGCAAGCGGAGGAGGAGGAGGAGGGGAGGAGGTGGAGGAGGAGCAAAAGGAGGAGGAGGAGGAGGAGGAGGAGGAGCAGGAGGAGGACGAAAGTTGAAGGACAACCGCCAGGTCAGTGTGGAGCGTTCGCCAACAATTTAAGAACAGCGTCTGCTTGCATTGGGGTTGCCCGGGATCCCGTCTAAAGCGCAAACGCCACATTTTGAGCAACGTGCGTTTTCGACTGAACCGCGCACCCAAAGCGTTGCGTTTCCGCTTGATCTGAGGAACCTTGAACGCGTCGCGGGCCGTTTGGAAGCGTTTTGCCTATGGAGACTCTTTCGGGAGGCCTCTTGGTGGCCTCTTGGGGACTCTTCAACGCGTCAGGTCGTTGGCACTTGCTTGCGTGCTCGGGGGGGCATTTGGGGGGGGCCCTCTTGGAGCCTCTTAAGGGCCTCTTGGAAACTCCTGGGGCCTTCTTAGAGCCGAGGGCTCGAAATTTTGATTCGTGTTCCCCCCCGGTACCTCTCTTGGGGCGTTCTTGGGGCCTTCTTGGGCCGTTTCCGAGCCCTCTTGGGCCGTCTTGGGGCCCTCTTGAGGGCCTCTTGTGCCCTCTTGGGGCGGTCTTGGGGGCATCTTGGGCCGTCAGTGGGGAAGCCGAAAAGGTGGAAACGCCAAAATCGATCCAAAACCTAAGGAAAAGCAATGAATTTTGCCCCCTGGGGCACTCCTGGGGCCGCTTGGGGGCCTCCTGGGGGCCTGTTGGGGGCGTTTTGGGGTCTCTTAGAGGTCTCTTAGGGACTCCTGGGGCATTCTTAGGGCCGAGGGCTCGAAATGTTGATTCGTGTTTCCCCCCCTGGGACCTCTCTTGGGGTGTTCTTGGAGCCTTCGTGGGCCGTCTTGGAAGCCTCTTGGGCCGTTTCGGAGCCCTCTTGGGCCGTCTTGGAGCCCTCTTGGGGGCCTCTTGGGCCCTCTTGGGGCGGTCTTGGGGGCCGCTTGGGCCATCTTGGGGTTTCGGGAAGCCGAAAAGGTGCAAACGCCAAAATCTGTCCAAAACCTCAGGAATAGCAATGATTTGTGCCTCTTGGGGCCCTCTTGAGAGTGCTCTGGGAGGCGTTTTGGGCCGTCTGGGGGGCATCTTGTGCGTCTTGGAGCGATCTTGTGGCATCTCGGAGCTCTTTTGCATCATCTTGAGGGACTCTTGGCGGCCTCTTGGCCTTTCTATGGGCTCCCTGGACGGCCTCGAGGGTGGCGCCCATGAGGAAAACCATCTCTGATCCGCAGCGCCGGGGACCTGCCCGGGGTACGTCTCTTCCGGAGACTTCCAGGGGCCGCCCCGCGTGCGCCCAGTGGAATTATTGTAAAGCAGGTACCGGAGATCTTGGCAAGTCTCTGGCCCGCTGGGCCGGCGGCTTCTGGACCGTCTTTTTATTATCATCATTTTGGACTGTGTTGCATTTTGCGTCCAAAATCCTCCTGTAGGGGGACATGCCCGACCCAATACCAGCGCGGTCTCCCGCGTCTGCGCATGACGGGGGGGCCCGGCCGGGCTGCTGCCCGACATTTGTGCGACAAGGGCCTGGCATCGCTCGGACGTGTGCATTTCTTCTCGGCGAGAACCATCGAGGAGCATCCTCGATCATTTGGCAAAAAAACCACGCACGAAACCGACAAAAAACACACAGACAGGGAAGGGACGTCCGAGCGATGGCCAGAGGGGGGGCCAAGGCTCCCTGGGCGGGGCCCGGGGCTCTCCGAGAGGGCGGTGGGGCTCCCTGGGGGGGGGCCTGCGGCCCGCCGCCCCAAGAGAAAGGTTGGAGCGGGCGCTTCCTGCCACGTCTCGGCCTCTGGGGGCCCTCGCCGGGCCCTCGGGAGCGTCAGAGAGCGATCAGGAGGGAAAAAAAACACACCGACACAGCTAGTCGACGATCCCCAGGAAAATATATAGGAATATATGGAACGTGGGGGGGGGAAGAGGGAAACCCAGAAAATATGGGAAAATATGGGGACTCTGTTTATTTGTGTGTATTCATTTGTGTGTCCTGGGGCCCCTTTGAACGACCCGGGACGAGAAAAACCGGCCCCGGGGAGGTGGCCCTGGACCTCCCGGGGCCCGCGCACCGAGAGCAGCGTGGAGCCTCCCTGTTGTCCTTCTCATCCTTCGAATCGTCATCGTCATGATCATCGTCATGATCACACCATAATGCCACCATTTTGATATTCGCCATCGCCATATCATATTTACCCTCATCATGACCATCATCATCACCATCAGCAAAGTCCCCATCCTCGTCTTCATCATCAAAGTCACCATCACAATCATCACCATCATCACCCTCAACATTGCTACCTCCATCACCATCACCATCACCATTACCATTACCATCACCATCACCATCACCATCATCATCACCTTCACCATCACCATCACCATCACCATCGCCATCATCATTACCATCACCATTACCATCACCATCGCCATCATCATCATCATCATCATCATCATCATCATCATCATCATTATCATCATCATCATTATCATCATCATTGTTATTACTCATGCAACTCGTAGTAGAAGTATTGTTATTGTTTATCGTAAGTTCATTATGATTGGTCGTAGTACTTTTATTATTTTTGTTATTACGAATCGTAGTCTTCTGATTGTTCTTACTATTCCTCTTTCTCTTAGTGTGATTATCATTATTGTTTTTATTTATTTTGTTATTGTTAGTATCATACTCAATATTGCCAGCATGAATATTGAAATCCGTGTTAGCATTATTCGTATTATCAGTATCATCAGTAGCATTATTCATATTATTCTCGATATTCTCATCGTCATCATCATCTATAGCCAGTTTTGCCCAGGGCCCGATTCTCGCGCTCCCGCCCGACGGGCTCCCGCCGTAGTTCGATCATTCGCTGCCATGCGCGCGGACAGGAGCCCGTTCTTGCCGCTCCAGCTCCCTCTCGAAAGCGACTGCGAGCCAGGAGAGGTCGCCCCCGCGCGGGCCCCGCGCGCGCCGCACGCGCAGCGCGCTCGGGCCGCGGCGGCAGCGCGCTGTCGGCGGCTGCGGCGGCGCTGGCTCTGCTGGCTGTGGCTTGGCGCGCGGGGCCCTCCACGGGGGCCGCGACTCTTGCCTCGCCTGAGGCTATCATTGTTGAGGCCGCCAGCGCGGATGCCAACGAGTCAGCGGATCCTGACGAGAGCGACCCGTGCTCGCAGACCGGGGCGTCTTGCGCAGTTTCCAAGTGCTGCTCTGAGCCAGGCTCGAAGTGCTACAAGAAGAACGACTACTGGTTCGCGTGCAACCAAACCTGCAACCCATACTACATGTGGAAGGACGGCGGCTGGGTCAAGACAAACGAGACACTCTGGGATTGCGAGGAGATCCGGCCGCCTTGAACGCCTAACGGGGCGTCTTGCGCACTTTCCAAGTGCTGCTCTGAGCCAGGCATGAAGTGCTACAAGAAGAACGAGTATTGGAGCTCGTGCAATCAAACTTGCAACCCAAACTATTTGTGGATGGAGACCGGCTGGGTCAAGACGAACGAGACAGTTTGGGACTGCGAGGTCATCACTATCGATAGTACCGATGTTTCGACTGACTCCGATGCTGGTAATGCTGCTGATGCCGTTGCTTCGACAGACTCCGAGTGCTCGCCAAACGGGGAGTCTTGCGCACAGACCATGTGCTGCTCTGAGCCTGGCGCAAAGTGCATCACAAGGCTGAAGAAAGACCATTTGAGTCAGTGCAACCAAACTTGCGACCCTTTCAGTTTGTGGGAGGTGGACCGCTGGGTGGTGACGAACGAGACACTCTGGGACTGCGAAGAGATTCGGCCGCCGTGCACGCCGAACGGGGCGTCTTGCGCACTTTCCAAGTGCTGCTCTGAGCCAGGCGCGAAGTGCTACAAGAAGAACGATTATTGGAGCTCGTGCAATCAAACTTGCAACCCAAACTACTTGTGGATGGAGACCGGCTGGGTCAAGACGGACGACACACACTGGGACTGCGAGGACCTCACCGTGAGCCCTGTCGAATCAGCGGATCCCATCGCTGATGCAGAAGCCGAGGACGAGAAAGGCACGTGCTCGCAGGATGGGGCGTCCTGCGCACTTTCCCAATGCTGTTCTGAGCCCGGCTCGAAGTGCTACAAGAAGAACGACTACTGGAGTTCGTGCAACCAAACCTGCAACCCGTACTACATGTGGAAGGACGGCGGCTGGGTCGAGACGAACGAGACAGTCTGGGACTGCGAGGAGGTTCGGCCGCCGTGCTCGCAAGCCGGGGAGTCTTGCGCACTTACACAGTGTTGTTCTGAGCCAGGCGCAAGTTGCTACAAGAAAAACGACTACTGGTTCGCGTGCAACCTGACTTGCGACCCCAATTCGATGTGGATGGAGGACCGCTGGGTCAAGACGAACGAAACAGTCTGGGACTGCGGGGTCATCGCTATCGAAAGTACTGATAATGCCACCGATGCCGCTGATACCGATGCTCCGGCAGACTCCGCGAGCAGCTCCGATGCCTCGACAGCCTCCGCCTGCTCTCAGAACGGGGAGTCTTGCGCACAGACCATGTGCTGCTCCGAGCCTGGCGCAAAGTGCTACAAGAAGAATGACCATTGGAGTTCGTGCAACCAAACTTGCGACCCTTTCAGTTTGTGGGAGGTGGACCGCTGGGTGGTGACGAACGAGACAGTCTGGGACTGCGAGGAGGTTCGGCCGCCGTGCACGCCGAACGGGGCGTCTTGCGCACTTTCCCAGTGCTGCTCTGAGCCAGGCGCGAAGTGCTACAAGAAGAACGATTACTGGAGCTCGTGCAATCAAACTTGCAACCCAGACTACTTGTGGATGGAGACCGGCTGGGTCAAGACGAACGAGACAGTCTGGGACTGCGAGGACCTCACCGTGAGTCCTGTCGAATCAGCGGATCCCATCGCTGATGCAGAAGCCGAGGACCAGAACAACACGTGTTCACAGAATGGGGCGTCCTGCGCACTTTCCCAGTGCTGTGCTGAGCCTGGCTCGAAGTGCTACAAGAAGAACGACTACTGGAGTTCGTGCAACCAAACCTGCAACCCGTACTACATGTGGCAGGTGGACCGCTGGGTCGAGACGAACGAGACAGTCTGGGACTGCGAGGAGATTCGGCCGCCGTGCACGCCTAACGGAGAGTCTTGCGCACTTTCCAAGTGCTGCTCTGAGCCAGGCATGAAGTGCTACAAGAAGAACGATCATTGGAGCTCGTGCAATCAAACTTGCAACCCAAACTATTTGTGGATGGAGACCGGCTGGGTCAAGACGAACGAGACAGTTTGGGACTGCGAGGTCATCACTATCGATAGTACCGATGTTTCGACTGACTCCGATGCTGGTAATGCTGCTGATGCCGTTGCTTCGACAGACTCCGAGTGCTCGCCAAACGGGGAGTCTTGCGCACAGACCATGTGCTGCTCTGAGCCTGGCGCAAAGTGCATTACAAGGCTGAAGAAAGACCATTGGAGTCAGTGCAACCAAACTTGCGACCCTTTCAGTTTGTGGGAGGTGGACCGCTGGGTGGTGACGAACGAGACACTCTGGGACTGCGAGGAGATTCGGCCGCCGTGCACGCCCAACGGGGCGTCTTGCGCACTTTCCAAGTGCTGCTCTGAGCCAGGCGCGAAGTGCTACAAGAAGAACGATTACTGGAGCTCGTGCAATCAAACTTGCAACCCAAACTACTTGTGGATGGAGACCGGCTGGGTCAAGACGGACGACACACACTGGGACTGCGAGGACCTCACCGTGAGCCCTGTCGAATCAGCAGATCCCATCGCTGATGCAGAAGCCGAGGACGAGAAAGGCACGTGCTCGCAGGATGGGGCGTCCTGCGCACTTTCCCAATGCTGTTCTGAGCCCGGCTCGAAGTGCTACAAGAAGAACGACTACTGGAGTTCGTGCAACCAAACCTGCAACCCGTACTACATGTGGAAGGACGGCGGCTGGGTCGAGACGAACGAGACAGTCTGGGACTGCGAGGAGGTTCGGCCGCCGTGCTCGCAAGCCGGGGAGTCTTGCGCACTTACACAGTGTTGTTCTGAGCCAGGCGCAAGTTGCTACAAGAAAAACGACTACTGGTTCGCGTGCAACCTGACTTGCGACCCCAATTCGATGTGGATGGAGGACCGCTGGGTCAAGACGAACGAAACAGTCTGGGACTGCGGGGTCATCGCTATCGAAAGTACTGATAATGCCACCGATGCCGCTGATGCCGATGCTCCGGCAGACTCCGCGAGCAGCTCCGATGCCTCGACAGCCTCCGCCTGCTCTCAGAACGGGGAGTCTTGCGCACAGACCATGTGCTGCTCCGAGCCTGGCGCAAAGTGCTACAAGAAGAATGACCATTGGAGTCGTGCAACCAAACTTGCGACCCTTTCAGTTTGTGGGAGGTGGACCGCTGGGTGGTGACGAACGAGACAGTCTGGGACTGCGAGGAGGTTCGGCCGCCGTGCACGCCGAACGGGGCGTCTTGCGCACTTTCCCAGTGCTGCTCTGAGCCAGGCGCGAAGTGCTACAAGAAGAACGATTACTGGAGCTCGTGCAATCAAACTTGCAACCCAGACTACTTGTGGATGGAGACCGGCTGGGTCAAGACGAACGAGACAGTCTGGGACTGCGAGGACCTCACCGTGAGTCCTGTCGAATCAGCGGATCCCATCGCTGATGCAGAAGCCGAGGACCAGAACAACACGTGTTCACAGAATGGGGCGTCCTGCGCACTCCCAGTGCTGTGCTGAGCCTGGCTCGAAGTGCTACAAGAAGAACGACTACTGGAGTTCGTGCAACCAAACCTGCAACCCGTACTACATGTGGCAGGTGGACCGCTGGGTCGAGACGAACGAGACAGTTTGGGACTGCGAGGAGATTCGGCCGCCGTGCACGCCTAACGGAGAGTCTTGCGCACTTTCCAAGTGCTGCTCTGAGCCAGGCATGAAGTGCTACAAGAAGAACGATCATTGGAGCTCGTGCAATCAAACTTGCAACCCAAACTATTTGTGGATGGAGACCGGCTGGGTCAAGACGAACGAGACAGTTTGGGACTGCGAGGTCATCACTATCGATAGTACCGATGTTTCGACTGACTCCGATACGACTGACTCCGCGAGCAGCTCCGATGCCTCGACAGCCTCCGTGTGTTCGCCAAACGGGGAGTCTTGTGCACTTACCAAGTGCTGCGCTGAGGCTGGCTCGAAGTGCTACAAGAAAAATGGCAATTGGAGTTCGTGCAACCAATCTTGCGACCCAAACTCCATGTGGCAGGTGGACCGCTGGGTCACGACGGACGAGGCAGTCTGGGACTGCGAGGAAATCAGTCTCCCGTGCTCGCCTAACGGGGCGTCTTGCGCACTTTCCCAGTGCTGCTCCGATCCTGACTCGAAGTGCTACAAGAAGAACGACCATTGGATCGCGTGCAACCAGACCTGCGACCCGAACTCCATGTGGACGGAGGGCGGCTGGGTGGTGACGAACGAGGCAGTCTGGGATTGCGGTGAACACATTATCGATGGTTCTGAAGCCTCGCAGAATTTCTGGGACTGGTTGCTCCACCTGTTCGGTAGGTAGCAGTTCGCAGTCCCAGTCGTCGTTTCCTCACCTCCAAACTCGCATTCCCTCACTTCCCCCTTCATCTCATCTTGTCCTTCTCGCGCTCCTCCATGAAGGGCTGCGCCCATTTAGGGCGCCAAAGTGCTAATCCACAGATCGTTGATTAGACAGGCCCAGAGGAAGCATTCCACTCATCAGGCGTTCTCAGCATACTGGAAGGGACGGTCAGACAGCGCGTTTTCAATTTGTTTGAGTTGACATAGGTCTTGATTCCATGTCACGCCGTTGGGCATCCTGCCAGTGACCCTGACGAAGGAGTGGAGGCCTTCAGTTGTGAAGTTTTGAATTGCCTTCTGCGAAATTTCGCTGTCCGCGGCAAGTGCCGCCACAGTGCCTGCCCAGCATTCTGGTTGGCGATTGTTCGAGTGGCACGGGAGGCCTTCGCATGTGACACCTCGTGTCTTCAGGCTCGGGGGAGTCGTGGTGATGATGAGGAGGAGGATGATGAGGATGATGATGAATATCAGGATGATGATGATGATGATGATGATGATGATGATGATGATGATGATGATGATGATGATGATGATGATGATGATGATGTGGATGTGGATGTGGATGTGGATGAGGATGCTGATGATGCTGCTGATGATGAGGATGCTGATGATGATGTTGATGTTCTGGTGATGATGAGGGTGATGAGGATGATGATGGTGATGCCGATGATGATGATGATGATGCTGATGCTGATGCTGCTGATGACGATGATGCGGATGATGATGAGGATGATAAGGATGATGCTGACGACGATGATGAGGATGCTGCTGATAAGGTTGAGGGTGAGGATGAGGCTGATGGTGATACAGGGAATGATGCTGACGAGGCTGATGCTGATGCTGACGATGATGCTGGTGAGGATGAGGATGATGTTGATGATGATGATGCTGATGCTGCTGTTGCTGATTATAATGATGAGGATCAGGATGCTGCTGATGATGATGATGATGATTTTGATTCTGAGGATGATGATGACGATGATGATGCTGATGCTGCTGATGACGCTGCTGATGATGCTGATGTTGATTATGATAATTGTTTGCGATGCTGCAGATGTTGATACTGATGATGATGAGTAGGACGAGGATGCGGATGCGAATGCTGATGGTGCTGTCGATTCCGATGACGCTGATGGTGATGATGCTGCTGATTATGATGATGGTGATGATTAGGATGAGGAGGATGACGATGATGATGCTGATGCTGATGCGGATGCTGATGATGATGATGATGATGATTCTAATGATTGGTGATGCTGCAGATGATGATGGTGATGATGATGATGCTGAGGACGAGGATGCGGATGCGAATGCTGATGATGATGATGATGATGATGATGATGATGATGATGATGATGATGATGATGATGATGATGATGATGATGATGATGATGATGATGATGGCGATGCTGATGATGCTGACGACCATGATGATGATGGTGATGCTGATGCTGATACTGATGCTGCTGATTATGGTGATGGCGATTATTAGGATGCTGATGCTGAGGATGATGCAGATGATGCTGCTGGCCCCAAGAAAAGGTTGGAGCGGGCGCTTCCTGCCACGTCTCGGCCTCTGGGGGCCCTCGCCGGGCCCTCGAGAGCGTCAGAGAACGATCAGGAGGGAAAAAAACACACCGACACAGCTAGTCGACGATCCCCAGGAAAATATGGGAAAATATGGAAAGTGGGGGGGGGAAGAGAAAAACCCAGAAAATATAGGAAAAGATGGGGAATCTTTTGATTCGCGTGTCTTCATTTGTGTGTCCTGGGGCCCCTTGGAACGACCCGGGACGAGAAAAACCGGCCCCGGGGAGGTGGCCCTGGACCTCCCGGGGCCCGCGCACCGAGAACAGCGTGGGAGCCGCCGGAGGGTCCGGGGGGACCCGGGGGCCGTGCCGGAGAGGGGCCCGCGGAGGGCCCCACCTTCGGCGCCCAGGAGGGCGCCCGGGCCGCGCCAGAGACGCCCCGGACATCCAGCGTCTCGACAACTCCTCCTCCTCCTCCTCCTCCTCCTCCTCCTCCTCCTCCTCCTCCTCCTCCTCCTCCTCCTCCTCCTCCTCCTCCTCCTCCTCCTCCTCGGGGAGAGCGACGGTGCCCTGGGGCTCTCCGCCGCTGAGGACCTCCGAGGCGGAGGTTCTTCGCGGTTTTCGGCCTCTCGAGGCCCTCGCCGGGCCTCGGGGCCGTCGAAAAACGGCTCGGGGCGAAAAACCGGCCCCGGGGAAGTGGTCGGGGGCCCGTGTCTCGAAACCATCGAGACGTCGGATGTCTGGGTCCCCAGATGCTCCTGGGCGCCGGCAAACAAGAGTCGATGTTTTTCGGCGCGTTTTTCTTTTGTTGTTTAAAGGTCTCAGCTTTCCCACCCCTGCAGTCCTGAGAGCGTCCACGGCAGCCCACGGAGCCTCCAAGGTCGCCCCGAAGCGGCCCCAGGGTCTCCATTGGGCCACGGAGGGCCGCAGGAGTTCCCCAGAGCCTTCCTGAGCGGCCATCAGTCCTCCGAGACATATCATCCGCGACAGCCAAGATAGCATGATACAGCCCTAGGACAGCCCAAGGTGGCCTCAGCAAGGCTCAAGATGGTCCCCCAGATTTCCGTAGCCATTTTTGTTCAAGCCGATTTGTCTGAAGACCATCTTGCCCAGGACCGATCGAAGCGAGAGCCTACCAGCTTGGTCTTCCATCATGCCGAGGGGAACCATCAAGAAGTTCTTCGAGGACAAGGGCTTCGGCTTCATCACGCCTGAGGACGGCGGTGAGGACGTGTTCGTACACCGGAAGGTGCACGGCCAGGATCGTACCGCCTACCTCGAGGAAGGCGACGCTGTCGAGTACGAGTTGGAGTGGGACGACCGCAAGGGCAAGTATTGCGCCTCGTCATGCTCTGGTCCCTGGAAGTCGGGCGGCGGCGATGGCGGCGGCGGTGGAGGCGGCAAGGGCGGCAAGGGCGGCGGCGGCGGTTGGGGAAAGGGCGGCGGCGGCTGGTAGTCTAGGCCCTGGCTTCTGGCGCGGTTTTCCGCGGGCGGGGACGCGGCGGAAGAGGAGGAGGAGGAGGAGGAGGAGGAGGAGGAGGAGGAATACGTGTCTCAATGGTCTCCCGTATCGGTTCATTCTCGCTTACTTGTGCACGGGCACGCTGGGCCCACTCGGCGTGCCCGCAACGCTCCGGCCTCTGTTTCTGCAACGCTTTGCCGTGCGCAAGGGTACGTTTAGGTTGTTGCTAGCAGGCCTCGGTGCGTGCACCAGTAGTCATTGCCTGGCCGGGACCTGTCACTCTCGATGCCGCCCAGAGCCAGTCGAGACCCGCGCTTGGCCAGAGCACAAAACAGTACAAATGATTCCCAGATGCTTGGACCAGGGCTTCTGGAGGGCGCTCCAGAAGCCGCCGATGGGCAAGCATCCTTCATGCCACCCCTTGGCTTGCTTGAGGGGAACGAAGAATGACATAAACATAAAAACTCGGAGGTCCGCGCGGATTTCTCGGATCGGCGCTGGACCCCCCTCCCTGGCGCGCGCGCCAGGGGCGACGCCAGAGGCGCCGCCAGGGGGGTCCACCGCGGATCCGAGAAATCCGCGCGGACCTCCGAGTTGTTATGTTTATGTTTTTCTTTGTTCCTTCTGTTTTACAGATGTCAGCCTTCCCTTATGATGTTCCGACTTACGTCAGCCTTCATCACCAGAGAGAGTTTCGAGCACCAGGACAGTACCGAAACCGGAGGGTTTTCATGTGCCGGGCCCTCGGAGGCGGTTTTCGTTCGATACGTTGCGATATTCTTCTGGGTGCTCGAGATTATTTCTGGGATGTGGTCCGTGAGTACGATGGGAGCACCATAGCACTAGGGGCCGGCCTACAGTCAACCCACACAGTCAGTCCCCTTCCTCCTACTCCCCCGCCTCCTCCTCCGCCGCCTCCTCCTCCTCCCCCGCCTCCTCCTCCTCTTCCTCCTGCTCCTCCTCCTCCGAATCCTCCTCCTCCGCCTCCTCCTCCTCCTTCTCTTCCCACCTCTGCAGTCCTGAGGGCGTCCGCGACGGCGCACGAGGCATCCAAGGTCGCTCCAAGGCGGCCCCGCGAGGGGCCTTCGCCGGGCCGAGGGAGAGCCCAAGGCGGGCCCCCAAGCGACCCCCAGAGCTTTGCGAGGCCGAAGTCGGACGTGTCCTTCTACAGGAGGAATATTCCCAAGTAGTCCAAAAAATAGTCTGGGGACCGGGTAAGGCTTTCGGCGCTAGACTCTGTGCTCCGGCCAGGTCGACGTCACCGCTGCAACACAGCTTGACTGATGTCACAGACTCGGTGCGGAAACTATGTTTTGCGACGGCGACGGCGACGACGAGGATCGCGCGGCTGGAGGGCGGACAGGGCACCAACCTGCGATGGGGGGGCCCGCGAGGACGCCCACGCGGCCAGCTGGCCTCTCGCCGGCCCCTCGCTGGGAGCGCCAGGGGGGGAGAGGGAAGGAAGGGCGAAAGATAGGTGAAGACAGGGAGGAGGAGGAGGAGGAGGAGGAGGAGGAGGAGGAGAAGAAAAGGAGGGAGATATGGGAGGAGGAGGAGGAGGAGGAGGAGGAAGAAAAGGAGGGAGACATGGGAGAAGAAGCAGGAGGAGGAGGAGCAGGAGGAGGAGGACGACGAGGAGGAGGAGAAGGAGGAGGACGACGACGACGAGGACCACGAGGACGACGACGACGAAGACGCTGAGGACGACGACGACGACGACGAAGACGACGAGGACGAACGACGAGGACGACGAGGACGACGAGGAGAGGAGGAGGAGAAGAGGAGGGAGGGAGGGAGGGAGGGAGGGAGGAGGAGGAGGAAGGAGGAGGAAGAGGAGAAGGAAGAGGAGGGACGAGGAGGAGAGGAGAGGAAGAGACGAGGGGGTAGGAGGAGGAGGAGGAGGAGGAACAATAAGAAGAAGAAGAAGCAGAAGACGAAGAAGAGGAGGAGGAGCAGGAGCAGGAGCAGGAGCAGGAGAAGGAGGAGAAGGGGAAGGAGGAGCGTGGAGGAGGAGGAGGAGGAGGAGGAGGAGGAGAAGGGAGAACAGGGAGGAGAAGGAGGAGGAGGAGGAGGAGGAGAAGGAGAAGGGACAAGGATGGACACGGGGGAGAAGGAGGGGGAAGACAGGGACGACGGAGGTTGGAGGATCAAGATGGTGGTGGTGGTGGTGATAGCGGTGGTGGTGGTGATTTTGATGATGATGTTGATGACGATGATGATGATAGTGATGATATTATTACTAATGTTGATGTTAATGATGATGCTTATGCATTATGATGATGACGATGATGATTCTGATAATGATAATGATGACGATAACGATGATGGTGATGATGGTGATGATGATGATGATGGTGTTGATGATGATGTTTATGATGATGATGATGATGATGATGATGATGATGATGATGATGATGATGATGATGATGTTGATGTTGATGTTGATGATGATGATGATGATGATGGTGGTGATGATGATAATCATGATCATGATGATGATCATGATGATGAGTATGATGATGGTGATGGTTATGTTGATTATGATGGTGCTGATCGAGGTGATGGTGATGATCATGATGTTCATGCTGATCATGATGATGGTGGTGATGATGGTGATGATGGTGGTGATGATGGTGATGGTGATGGTGATGGTGATGGTGACGGTGATGCTGCTGATTGTGATGATGGTGATGGTGGTTGTGGTGGTGATAATGATCCTGATGATGATGCTGGTGATAATGCAGATGATGGTGAGTGTGTTGCTGGTGGTGATGATGGTGGTGCTGATGATAATGATAGTGAGGAGCAGGGCGAGGAGGGAGCACGAGCAGAAGCAGGAGCAGGATCGCCAGGAAGAGGAGGAGTCTGAGGATGATGATCGAGAGCAGGAGGAGGGGGGGGACTGGAGGACGGAGGCTGGAGGACGCAGGAGGGAAAGTGGAAGAGAGAGGGGGTGCAGGGGGAGGCAGGGAGAGAAGCTTGGGATGTGGGAGATGTGGGAGGGGCAGTGGGAAGGCGGGGGCGGGCACAGAGAGGCAGGGTGGGGTGCAGGGGGAGGCAGGGCAGCAGGAGCGGGCCAGGGGCGAAGGGGACGGCAGCAAGATAGGAGGGAGACGCGAGAGGGGAAGGGGGAAGATGCAGGAGGGAGGCACAGGAGTGGATGGGGGACCGGGAGATGGGAACGGAGAGCGTGGAGCGGTCGGATTGGGAGGGGAGGCAGGCCGCAGAAGGGCCGGGGGATGGGGCGGGGGCGGGGGGAGAGGAGCCAAGGGGCGGGGAACCGCAGGGGATGCAAGTCACGGCTGCTGTGCAGGGCCCGGCCCGTTCACGGAGGTTCCGCGGAGTTGTCCCCGCCGCTTCCCTGCAGCCGACCAGCTACGGTTGCTGGTCAATGCGGGCACCGTCGCGAGGGAGCGCTTGCTCGTGAGCCCCGGGCGTTCCTCTTCGCTTGGCCATTGGGATGCCCTCGCTAAGACCATGCCCTCCCTCCCACGTCCCCCCTCGCTCCATTTGCTCCTCCGTCTCCCTCCCACTGTCCCTCCTCCACCTCCTCCGCCTACTTCTCCACCTCCTCCTCCTCCTCCTCCTCCTCCTCCTCCTCCTCCTCCTCCTCCTCCTCCTCCTCCTCCTCCTCCTCCTCCTCCTCCTCCTCCTCTCCAGTCCTGCTTGTCATCGCTCCCTCATCATCCTCCACCTCCCTCCTTCTTCCTCCTCCTCCTCCTCCTCCCTGATCACGCTAATTTGGGAGTGCGTACGAGGAGCGAGAGAGAGAGAGAGAGAGTGGAGGAGGAGGAGGAGGAGGAGGAGGAGGAGGAGGAGGAGGAGGAGAAGGAGGAGAAGGAGAAGGAGGAAGAGGAAGATGACGAGGAAGGCGACGGTGACGATGAGGTAGAGCAGGAAGGGGGGTGGTTCTAGCCAATCGTCGCTTCTCGCTCCTCCTCTTCCTCATCGCTCTTCCTCCTGGGTCCTGTGTCCTCGCTCCTCGTCCATGTCGTTGTCGCTCCTCGTCCTCCTCCTCCTCCTCCTCCACCTCCTCCTCCTCCTCGTCCTCCTACACCTCCTCCTTCTCTCTTCCTCCTCGTCCTCCTCCTTCACCTCCTCCACCTCCTCGTCCTCCTTTACCTTCACCTCCTCCTCCTCCTCCTCCTCCTCCTCCTCCTCCTCCTCCTAGTTCCCTTCCTTCGTCATCGCCACTCGCCCATCACCAGCACAGTGTACATCGCCGCCTCGCGCCCGCTCCTGCAAAGCCGCTCCTGCTCGCTGCGCCTCGCCGCTCCCGCGGGGGGCAGGGCTGGACTGGCAGTCGTAGCGAGGGCCCCCCCCCCGGTCAGCGGGGCAAGTCTGGGCGATGCTTGCTCGCCCAGCCCTCGCGCGCGTCGGCCGCCCGCGGCCCGGCCGCACGCCGCGCCGCGCCCACTCGTCCCCCTTTTATCCTGCCTCGCTGCCCCCTGCTGCACCTCCATCCCCCGTCCTCCTCCTCTCCTCCTCCTCCCCCGCCCACCTCTCGCCTTCCTCCTCCTCCTCCTCCTCCTCCTCCCCTCCTACTCCTCCTCCTCCTCTTCTTCCTCCTCCTCCTCCTCCTCCCTGCCCTCCTCCTCCTCTCCTCCTCCTCCTCCTCCTCCTCCTCCTCCTCCTCCTCCTCCTCCCACTCCTCCTTCCTCCTCATTGCCCCTCCTCCTCGTGCTCTCACTATCCTCGCTCGCCATCGCTTTTTTCTTCTGTATCATCCCCCTTGCTCATGAACTCCTTCTTCCCCCCATCCGAGAAGTCGCTCGTTTCCCCCCCCCCATCCAGCCTCCTCCACTTCTCCTCCTACGTAACCGTTTTGGTTCCAGATGCTCCTCCTGCGAGGCTGTTTTGATTCCTGGCGAAAGGGATACCTTGGGACCGAGGCCAGTTCCTTGCTCTTTGCTCGCATCCACGTCTCGCATGGGTGCACCATGCACTCGTGGACGGGCATCGTCCCAGCAGTTGCCGCGGCGTGGCGCCCCCCAGCACAGGCCGCAAGCAAGCCCGACTTCACCGCGTGGTCGTGCACAGCATGCGGTCGCACCGCCAGCTGGGCCTGCCGCGCGGCAGGGCGCGTCTGGCCGCCAGGGCGCCCCCCCGACGTGGCCAGGCGTGCCCGTGCCGCCCACGAGGGCGGGCAGCAGGCGCGGGGCAGCGCATGCGCTGTCGGCTGGCGCAGGAGAGCACCGACGGGTGGCAGCCGAGGTGGGCCCTGGCGACGAGAAGCAGGCGCAGGTCGGCGTTTGCGTGCCAGGGCATTTTCTCTTGCGGACTTGGGCGCCCTGGCGTGGACGGCCGAACGACCCTGCAGCGGGACGCCCTGGCCACGCG